CTGCCATCATGATCACGACAGCAAGAAAACTGGGATGGGAAATTATGAAAGTCCCATTGTAGTGAATGGAGAAGAGCCACCACAGACCCAACTAAGATGGCTTCCAATTGCCCCAAATCCATTCTATTGTGCGCCATCTCCAGTTCTATTTCTTAGCTCAGTGCTTGTAACTCTCGAGACAGTGAAGGCCTCTCCAGAGACATCTATATACACTCTATGGTCTCATCGAGTCTGCCGCTCGGCCATGGAGGAGGAGTTGATGTGCGCACGCTTGGTGGAGGATCGACAGTGACATCTGTATTGCGACGCTGTCAATGCATGGGATTCGAGCGAAGTGGAAGCCTCTAGTGATGAAACTGTGCCGAAGGGTGCGGACGACTCACATCTCACGCCCCAGTTCTACACGCACTATTTCAGTTCATTTTGTGACGGGATCCCCTTCCGATCCTTCCAAATAGAAGGCCTGCACCATTCTTTGAGAGTGCCAGAATGGCTCGAAATTGGAAACTAAATCTACGACCTTTCACTAAAAATGTTCCCGGTCGAACAAAAATACTGTCATCGATGATGAACGATGCAAGTAATTTTCACTCTTATCCCATTCTCAAGGAAACCACACGCCCTCCTCGCCGTTTCTTTACCCGACCAAACTTATTCCTTGCAACATCCCCAGCGAGTCCGTACCTTTCCATCATCATCCGACATCAACCAGGTTCGGTTCCTCTATATCTCCCTAACAAAAAAATTACAGAAAAAAACAAAGTAAACAGGAGTAGTTTGAATCGAACTTTCGTTTTGACTAATTTTTTCACCTCCATTCTTCTCGTGAGGGATTCTAGAGCGTAAATAAGCCCCTAATAAGGGGGGGGTCTACTTTTAATTTCCCGCCAGAAAATCTAAACGTGCAAAAGTACTCCCACTCAACTGGCTTGTCCTTCGCTCGGTGAAGTGTTCATCTCGTGATTGGAAGAACCATTTCTGAAAGAGGCCTCACGAATAGTATTTAACAACGTTTGTTACAATGTCCGAACTAAGGTGGTTTTACCATACTCTAAGAAACTGAAAAGGCTGCCAGGCAGAGATGAACAAAGTCTGTATGAGGAGGGTTAAAGCTTCTGCCTGGCAATAGCCCAAGTGACAGGTCGGAATACTTTTCAATCACTATTGATATCAATAGGCTTTGGTAGCGCCTATTGGTTTTCTTCAACCCCTTTCGGCTACAAAATTCAACCTCTTCGTATTCCTCTCTGAGAGTACCAACATAAACAAAATTTAGCACGCTTTTTCCTCTCACAACGCAGAATCACTCCTGCAAATTTGAAGCTCCATCTCCCCGGGGTTGTGGAGATCTCGTTTTTGGAAAATGTGAATTTCATTCCTTTTTTTTTCTCCCCCACTGAGTAGCGATTCCTGGGATGCTTTCGCAAGAATGAGACCAACCATGAGAAAGATAATGATTTGTAGATGACGAAAAGTACCCTTTTTGTTGCTTGCGATGCACCATTTCGCCATAAAAAATGAAATTAGCTGTCGTTCATTTAGGCCTAGAGCGCTAGCTCCGATCCCGTCCCCCAGTGTTGCCGGATATCATGTCGGAGTTATGTCAGATTCATGACTTATTCGGCCTTAGTATCGTTGTCTGGATCTTCGCTTTTTAATGCAGGGGACACTACTGTGTTGAATTCATGGGATGAGCTGAGATTGAAAGGGTGATTAGCAGTGACTGATCGATTTGGTGGAATACGGAGATATCTCATCCGGACATCTCTAAATTAACATGATGGCGACCAGCTTGTACAGTATGTCATGCACCCTAGAGGCCTTTACTTCTCGAACGAGTCGAGACGGTTCGAGGAACTCTGGATTGGCCTAATGTTCCACGACCGCATTGAAGTTGTTCATGAAACTCGAAAACGACCTTCAATCGGTCTGACGTTACACGTTCTCTGTTAAATGAAAGACTGAATGGACCTGCGATTGGCCTAACGTTATACGTCCTCGACGAGGTGTCTCGAAGACCATGGATTAATCCTTATAGGCATAATAAGACCCTAGGTCGGGGACTGAGTTTCGTTAGAACGGGAAAAGGGTAGGCATAGGCCTGACCCGAAGACAATCCGTCGGTTACGCCTGGGCCTAGTGAGTTTCGTAGGGAAGGGGGTGAGGGTGGGGGGTCAGGTTGAGGTTGAGGAAAACCTTTGAAAATTGGTTTCCACATTACTACATTCGTGCATTAAAGACCGGGATTCTGCGGTCGGTGAACGAGAGAGATTGAGGAGGGAGAACGTTTCATTTGCATTTTCGATGAAACCAATTTTTTTATTATGCAGGTTTCCATTTGATGCGCATGCAGTTCTTGATCGTCATGATCCAATTCGTAAATGGAAGAATCGACTTTAAAGAATCACGGGGAAAACGGAGGCAATCGCCAATCAGGGTTTCGGAGGAGTGAAACGTAACGTGACACGAAGCGTTCAACTCCTGAATCCCGTTTTGAAAGAGGAACTTCTCTGAGAGGAATTGCCCTAGGACAACATTTCCTCGAATTGTTATCCTGGGGGTCGCGCTTTTTCCTCTTCTTCCCGGATTTTCCTTGTTTTATCCGGATTCATAATCGGATTCCACGTGGAGACCATTCTGCGCAGCACCACGGAGAGCGACAAACACTTCTCAGAATTAAAAAGGGCCTCTCGCCTGCGAAGAGAACGCCATTCCTTCAGTCGCCTTCGGTGAATCCGCACAGCACAATGAAGAGAGTCCTAACGTGCAGCCTCTCTGCTCTTCTCATCCTCCTCCTTCCCGAGAGGAGCTTCCAAGGGCCGCCTTCGCCTTCAATCCCTATCCCCGTCTGTCCTGCTCCTCCCCACGCTTTCCCTCGTAAGTGCATTTTGTTCGATATTTTTCTCCAATTACGCTCATAGTTTTGTCGTAATATGCCAAAACACGCTACGTCAGCATGTGACATTTTATATTCCATGCAAAAGTAACCAAACCGTAAACTAGCCACGTTTCGTCTAAACCGCCTTCGCCAACTCTCACGTTGATCTCGGTAAAGCGCGTCTTCGCAAAGCAAGATCGTTCGCCCGACCAGAAATTAATCTATCAGACACTCGAAAAATCCATATTTCTGACATAACTTCTGGCCAGTTACAACATAATTTTAACCTAAAACCATGTAATATTTCAAGTTCTCCTGGCCTTTCTGTATGTATTAAATTCGCATTAAACAACACGACAACTCTGGAGAACCGTTTGAATTGAGTTTTGCGTTGAACCGTCGCTTCATAAGCGGATGATCATACCTGCACTTCGCATCACCAAAGCCATGGAATTGAACCTTTCCACAATACCTAACCGTTACGAAAGCCTCATGTTTCTGCATTTCGTCTGAGGTGACCCGCTATGTGTTCAACACGTCCACTCTGGGTTTTCATTTGGAGTCTCAAAAAATGTAAACTGTTTGGTGATGGTAGATAAAATCTGGACCATCGATTCCGAGGACAATATGAATGAGATGCTCTTTCTTTGCTATGTCTTGGAGTTCCTTTATACAGCAGAAGCGTAGAAAGATTCTGAAAAGGGAGGAAGCCAAAGATTCCCGACATCTACAAGGGGATTGAGGTTTCTGAAATTCGTAGGATAGAGCAGAATGCAAATCCACTAATCAGAGATATGCTTCAAACTGGGATATATGGAGGGAGGAAAGGGCGAATGGGGGGGGGGGGGAGATGGGGTGGGGGGGGGAGGGAGGGAATTTTCCCATTCTTGCCCTTCTCAAGCCCTTCTTTATAGTCTGTACCCTTTTACTTACATAGGCATGCAATCAGAGCCAGTGAAGTTCCGATGACTACAAATATTTGGCAAGCTCTCGGGGGCCTGTTGTTTAATTTTTGCTTTCAGCTTAGAGTCCATCGGCATACTCTAGGACTATATAAACAATAGCTAGAAAGAGAACCTGAGGCAAGCGTGAGAACAACGCCAAATACCATACCCATAATGTTTGTTTAACGCGTACATTTTCTTTCATCACTTGGACGTCAGGAAATTTACGCAGAACTTTTAAATTGGCAGTGAGTAATAGGTACAACTCCTCCCTCCCCCCATGATTGTAATTGATTGGGACCTGACGAACGCAACTTGTGGACGGACGGACGTAGTTTCGACAAGGCGATCCTGGCTCCATCGGGTATGGAACGGCTTCCTGGAGACCCTTTTGACAGGTCTGGATCTTGGCAGACAGCAAGGGGGCCTTATCATCAACGGGTTTTCGGCCAACATCAGGGATGTCCCCTTCATGGCCTTCCTGGAAATAACATTACCCAACAGTTCGGCGTCGTTTGCATGCGGTGGCTCCATCATCAGTGAGCAGCATATCCTCACTGCTGCGCACTGTGTCCTCGATGAAAACTAGTAGGTCCATGCAGGATGCCTCTTTCCCTATCATATCTCTTCTCAGATGCGATTAATTCAAGAACTTTCTGCGGGTGGGGGTGTGTGTGTGTGTGTGGGGGGGGGGGGGGGGGGGGGGGGGGGGGTGTGTGTGTT